GTGCTTCGACACAAAAAGGTGGGAAAAGCGTTTTACTTTGTAAAAGGCCTGTCAAGTTGACAAGGTAATGATTATTGCCGTTACCTGCGACAACTTTAAGGATTTATGATATATCAGAAAAGATTTGTGGATTTGAATTTCTTATCAGTGTCTCGACAAATTCAGTGTTAACTATTTTTGGTTGCAATAATAAACATATGTACTGCCCGGCATCGATCACTTGCCGCCAACCAGTGTAGTTGCATGATTTTCTTCACTTGCAGGAATTTCACTTACAAGTTATCACACTATTTCCTAACTGTTAATAAAGGGAGACAAATAATTTGTTAGATTTTGCTATCTTCAGGGCCCTGGTCATCTGAGAGAACTTCCCGATCTTTTGTCCAAATTCTATTTTTACCTTATTAACAACTTTTTCTGCTTTAGTTCTACTAAGTGTCTTCTGCTTTAGCTTACATTCGAGAGCTGAGTAACTGAAAGAGAAGGAATTGAAAGGATTTGTAATACTCACAAAAAGCAAAGTTTTAACTGCACTGGTCTGTCCCAAAAAGATTTATTATCTATATGTCTATTATTTCTAAGACGTATGTCATACGTCTTCGAACGTAAATCCCTCAAACAATACCGGGAACGCCCTCATTGTGGCGTAAACTCTGTTTATCTGCTTCTCCGTCCACATAATGCGGTGACGGGTAATTGAGGGGACTGGGTCCACTATTGCTGCGCAGTCCTGAATGTAGCTTTCTGAACAAGTTACTTGAAGGAAATGGCACATTTTCCTGAGCGATTCCGCTGGCCTTTTTACGACATCCATACTAACAACACTGAGGAAGTCCTCCGGAAAGGATTTGTGGGCCACAAAGGTTCCTTCTGCCCAGTTGTTGTAAAGTTTTATCTTTTCGTCTAAAATTTCACTGGCATTGATCTGTTTAGAATTGAGATGCACCTCTTAGTAGATGTAAATGGTAGATTTTGTATTAGTGTTTACTTTATTGTTTCATCTCTTTGAAATGTCTCCTATTTAATTGAGCTGCAGTTAATTAAGATGGTGCTTAAAAAATGCCAGTAATTCGCAAACACGTAAAAAATCAGACTGTTTTCTGTAATAATCAGCGGGCCGAAACAAAGCGATTGGCGACGCCTTCAATTCATTGTTGACCCTCGACACGTGATTTGCATATGCGTACCTTGACATTTGGGTCAGCGGTCCTGGCCTGGATGTCCTTGTGTCGAAGAACAAATGTGGCTATGTTATCAAATGGGTTTCTGACAACATGAATGAACTTGATGTTCACTCCAAGTTTCTCTTTCATTTCATAAATGGCTCGTGTTCCAAGCAGACGAAGCATTACTGCAGTGTCCCAAGCTGTCTTGTCTCCAATCACCTGCAGTTCATTTACAAAACAAAGTAAGATAACGGACTGGTCATTAGTTTGAGGCGACGGTTAGGCTGAACCTTGCACATTCTTAATTGTGATTTCCTAGTTAAAGAAAATGCTTACAGGATTTATGAAAAATGATTCAAACGTACTTTGTAAATGAGGCATTTTGAATGACAAATTATTTCAGCCTTCAATATCTTTTCAGATATGATCGCTAAAGCCCCAAGGTTTATGCCTGGAACATGACCAAAATGGTTATGATTCGAGAAGATTTGTTGGAATATAATTTGATTGAGCTGTTCAACATTTACATCGATTTACAGCCCGTGAAATTGATATTTTAAGTTTTATATTTCACCTGTATGTATCGATCATATGTTCCCTGCCACTGATCTGGAATACGGTAGCCGAAGATTTGAAAATTTGCTGCGCTTCCGTTTGCTACGCGAGACCTTCGACCTCTTTTTACAGACCGCGCTGAGTTTCCCAACATTGTATCGAAGAATTCATATCTTGATTTTTCCGTTTTCCATGCTGGTTGCTGAACCCATTTTCTCAGTGCATACGATTCATCTGCAACTATCATGTGAGGGTGAGCGTCAAGTAATGAAGAAACTAAGCTGTGTCTACTGCGAGAGTAACCAACAAATAGCAACAGCGTGTTCACTCGATCATACATTTCGTTTTTGCTTGTTACTTCCTCTGTAAGAGATGTAAAGACAGAATCATTTCAAACATTGAGAAGTCACCCAAAAACCTAACCTGTTCTAGCCGCTCAGTTGTCAGACAGAGCGGAAAAAGAAAGTAAACGCCTGGAACTGGATAAATAGAACTGTGAACCAGTTTACAAGGTGAGATAAAAAAAAAACCTCTGGGTTGACTAAAAGATTATCCGTCTACCTTAGTGCTATCTTACATTTTCAATATAACCTTAATGACTCTATGAAGTCCACTTGCAAAAGAAATGACGAGGCAATTCATTTGAACAATGCAACAGTCAAGAACAAATTTCGAAGGAATCTGTTTGAGTAAAAAAGTTGAAATAAAACATAGTAAAGGGTGAAGGGAATTTCACATCAGTAACTTTTCCTTTATCAGCCTTTATTGAGGGATGGTATGTGACCCTCAACAAAACTCCCAAGTGTAATTGTGTCTTAAGCCCGCGAGCCCGCGAGCACTGCCTCACAAGAATCTCGTGGGCTTCTCGCGCAACCAGGGGTCTGGGACGAGAAATGACCGCTCCTACCGGCCTCCGGAGGGAAAGGCAGGCCGGGTTGACACTAACAGACTTCGTAAGAAGCCCTCGATATGCTCAGCAGCGCCAATCGATGAGTTTCTGTTCGTAAACTAATGGAATTTTCTATGTCAATTAGTACTTATTGTCTTATTTGGTTTACCTGTCAACTTCATTGCTCCATCGTTGTTGACATTGTTTTGCTCCTGAGATGTGTGTTCTAAGGCCCTTTTCTGGATGGAGCGTAGATATGTGTCACTTCTGTCACTGCCAGTTTTACCTGAAAGACAATTTCAAAAGAGAATCTCTGATCCAAAATATCGCATTAGGTGACTTGCCATGCCTTATGGTGCAATTTTTATGTCCTAATTTTTATGTCATAATTCAAATTCTTAGTTATATGAACCAGCATATCAGACTGGGAGCAAATTTTAAATAATTCGAGGTTTTCAGGTGTCAATCGCATATTTCTGATAGTTTTGTCGCAGATACGTATGGACAATTGTATAAAATGAGTACAGTTTTACGCAGACATTAGTGTGAGTCTTTTATTCTTTCCATGCCGGTTTATTGTAGAATGAAGGGATGGACGCGACATCAAAGCTAAGGACCTTCGTAATAAGGAGACTACACTGCAAAAATTTGAGTTTCACCTACTTTTATCCATTACAGAGTAAAATCACACTCTTAAATTTTAAAGTGGTTATTCTGGATATTCTCAGTTGCCCTATCTGAACCTTAATCTACCTCAGACAGCGAAACCCTTGAGATTCAATAGCTTATCAATCATAAACCAGGCAAACACTTGGACTCGTGTAAGAAATTCACCTTAGTAACCAATGTGGTGATTTTCCTAATACCTCATTACCTGTGAGTTCAAAATGCCACAGGATCACAAGCACAGACATACCAACCCAGCAGGCCGCGATGAACACCGTATGATGTAACGGAGGAAATCTGGGAAACATCTCCCTTCAGCCTGTGAAGACTAAACAAACGACAAAAATTTTTGTTCGTAGGTTTAGATTACATGTCACGGTAGAAAGGCAAGATAATCAGTAATGTACTACCCTGGCTCAGTCTGCAAACTCTATGTTGATAATATAATAATGTCTACCGTTGATCCCACAAGTCAGCCCGCTTGAGGGGCGGTAATTTCATTCTGCAGTTTCAAAATGCTGAGGTCTGAAAACGGCGAATTTTAAGCTATGACCCCGTACGGCTCCGCTCGCGCAATCCTCTGGAAAACCATATTAAAAGCTGATGAGTATAGAGCCGAACAGTAACATCAACCGGTCAGGAAAAAGTCGCGAGGCCTGCACTCACATGGCTCTTGCATCAAACTTTTCAGGTGCATGAACTGAAATTCTTGGCCTAAACTTGTAATTAAACAAACGAGAACGAATGTTAAACAAGCGTCACCAGACATCACATTCTCCTGTAAGCTAATTAGATTCAACGAAGAATTTCGCTAACAAAGAGAGGAAAAATTATCCATGGTCACTTTTAAAAACAAGTTTCAAGGCCACACTCTGAAAAATACTGCCTGTATTGTGAAATATGTGCATATTAACCTTGTACTCCCCAACAAAACTACGGGTCGGTTAATGTAATGATATTCATCAAATGAAAGATATCGTTTGCCAGTTTTGCCACGAAAGCAAAGACTAACAACACATTCAATAAAATTGTTCATTACTAATCTGACATGAAAAGACACAATCACTTTCTCTACAAACATGTGATTGGTGGATAATTTAATAACTGACCTGAGTATCTTACCTTTTCCCGGAAACTAAAAAAATTGGACCGATTTCGTGTGTTAAGGGTCGTAGCGCTAAAAACGATTTACCTTTGATTCCACTGATATGATCGACAAGTAATGAAAGAGTTAAATAATGCTAATCTATGTTCATTCATTTATTCATGGACGAGAACCTGGCAACTTGAGAAGCTAATCATAGATGAAATAATTTTTTTTCAATGCAGTTGGTTGTTGATGTTTTCAATTTTTTCATCTGCTTATTTTGTAGTTTCAGGTCTTGATAAGAACCTTCTTGAAAGTTGATTTAACGACCGATTCAAGATGATAAAGAGTATTTACATCATGGTAATTAGAGGATAATTGGAGGATGTAGAGCACCAATTATTAACCTTGTAAGTAAAACTCTTTGGATATAATATCACGTGATTGTCAGTACATTTTTTCCTTAAGACTCGGGTTGCTAAGCTTGTTAGTTGAATGGATGTGTGAAGCCTTTATGTTGCTTGGTTTTGAACATAAGTTACCGCAGACATTAACGCGAAAAAAAATTGGCGTGGTATATGATCGTACAGGTTTTGAGAATGAATGAAAAATGTCCAGTGTGGTATTATTTTCTTATTTAACGTATATTTGGCGAATAAAATTTCGAGGGAGAGCGTAGTGTCCCTAACTAGGTTCCAGTCTCTTTCATCCATTTAAACAGGAGAGGTACAATAGCGAAGCTTGACTAACAACATGGCAGACGAATCGGCGAACGAGGCTCACGAGCTGGAGGGGACCTTCGCTAACAGAGCAACCGAATGTTGTGATTTATTGCCGTACCTAAAACGTTTGGTCTATGAAGCTTTGTCTACTGTTGTTAGTATGGATCAAACAAATCTAGATTCGTGTTCTCTGAAGTTCAACAAGAAATTGGAAAATGGAGATTTAATCATTCCAGCTTTTGTACGGAGTTATCTTGGCGCTGGCAAGGTGGTGAAATTTGCCTTCTTTTGTAACTCACGTTTAGAGAAGGGCTTAACATTGCTTAGAGATAGCTTGAAATTTTCCATACAAGTGCTACAAGAAGTTTTCCCAATAGGAAAATGCTTGCATTGACATCTGGGTTATTTATTTGCTGAAGGATTTATCGCGTATGAATAAAGTTACCATTACCATTATCGGGGGAGGGAGTGGGGGGAGGGGAGGAGAGGGGTGTTGGGTAGGGGGGTAATGATTAATGGTCAATCGCCTAGTCTGATCTTTTAAGGATTTGTTTCTTAGGCCGACTGGCTTTTCTTTTGGGCAACTTGACTTTTTATTCTGGGCAATATGACAAAAAATTTGTGCAACATGACTCAGGTTCTGGAAGACACATGACTTCTGGTGAGATGATTTACAGGCAACTTGACCAGTTACCAAGGTGACAGGGGTAAGGTGGGGAGGTAGGCTGCCTCCTACTCTTTTCAAGTACATTGTTGTCTACAGTCTTTCAACCGTAAAGGTTGATAAATAGCACGGTCAAAAGTGGAAATCTGTAAGGTGTCAAAAACAATAAAATGTACGTGATTTGTTTCAAGCAAAGTAACCATAGCCCTCTAAATATGGGTTGTACTCCTAGCCTTTTATGTGTTTTGGTAATTTTACTTGAATATCTTGTTGTGATTTAAAGTAGCCAGAAAACAGTAGTTGACATGCAAAACACCAGCAAATTCACAATTTTTATCACCATTTGATCATCAAGCCTGTTCCTTATAATTGTTTTTTAGATATAGGAAGCCCAAACTGCCTTGTATGGTTAATGACAGAAATCAACTGGTTTCCTGTTCATCAAAATAACTCTCTCTTTCAGCCTCCTGCATTATGACTGAAATACATTTAGGACAACTCTTTTTTAGCTTTTAAGTTATCAAATAAAGATATCAAATCACTCTCTTACAACTTAGTGAGGTGCCTTTTCATAATTTTGAGAAATGTGTACATAAACAGAATATGGTATGTTAGAAAACATATTTTGGCAATTACTATTTATTAGTCCTGGTTAATGATAGAGAATTGAAAGAGAGGGATCTTTTAATAATATTTTGTTTTGTGTTTGACATTTTAGGTTGAATTTCAAAGTCTCTGTCAGGAGATAAGTGACCATGTGTCTAAAGTTCAGTTTGTCAGACAGTGTTGTGTGACAAGTGGGGGAAATCTTCTGTTGAGTCTCAACAAGGCAGATGTAACAAGTGCTGTGTTTAACAATATCATCAAAGAAACAGATCAATATGGACAGTCAAGCAAGCAGACACATCAGTGTGTTTTATTGAATCCCTCTCTTTCGGTTCATGTGGAGGATGAAGGTCATTTAAATCTGGATCAACTGAGAACAATTCTCATTTGCGAACACATTAAGGAACTTTTAAATGCAAATGGGTATGTAAAGTTTATGGCAATTTCAAATGCTTAAATAATATACCTGGGTTGTCATTAGAAAAAGTGATGGATGTATGATCAAAATGAGTGGCTGGCTAAATTGAATCACACTTGCAAGACAAGCATGGTATGTAGTAAGCCAGCACAACCCTTTAGGATGGGGAGGAGGGGGGGGGTCTTGGGGCATGCTTCCTGTAAAATTTTGAAACTCTCTGAGAGGTAGTATGTCCTAGCATATTGGGATATACATGTATCATATTTGAGTAACTTTAAACTTTTTCCTAGCAGACATTGATGTTAGAATCAGTTAAAAAATACTAGTCTTATTTTCTGTACATGTATTTGATCACAATTTGCAAAGTAGCTAGTACAAAATGGTCTGACAGAGAACAGATTTTCCATCACCTACTATACACTGATTGGCTCGTGTGTTGCTTTCCTGAGTGTTGGATTAATCATATTTTTGTGCCTCTTAATTTTACAATATTTATTACAGTGACATGTAATTGAATATTCTTTAGCATTGACGTGAAATCAGCTTTGGACTATAAGAGCCAAGAAACTTGTACATGTAAGGATGCAAGTATCCAAGGCTACCAGGAAACCTACAACCTCTTCTCTCCATCATTATTTAATGTAAGGAAAATCAGCCTGTGGACAGAAAAAGACCTTACTACTAAAGCTGAAGAACTTTATGAAATATTAAAAAATGGCAAATATGCGGACTCTTTGAACAGAAAGACTGGAAGGCAGGCCATCCATGAGGCTGAGCTTAGTTCTCTTTGTGAGAGTAAATGTAGTTGCCAAGACTCTGATTTAAATTGTGATGAGGTTATTTTGGATTTGCCCAATTTTTGCCAAGATAATGAGCTGTATTCAGGTAAGTATCTCAAATAGCTCTTGTGTGACTTGTAATCAAAACATACACAGATGTACATGACGTTGTATTAAATTAAAAACAATTTTGTTCCTTTCCATTATCCTGAACTTTATGCTATTTCACATTGATTTGTATCAAATATAACATTATTCTTGATGGCTTTAAACCCTTAAAACTCAAAACCTTTAAATGATTTTATGATTTTCTCATGATCTTAATCAAGCTAGTCCTACAGGAAAAAAAGTAATTTAAGATTTTATGGCAAATTTGTTGGAGAAGAAAGTGACATGGTTGCCAAGTGGTTGGCCAGTAGACTTTAGATTTAGAAGTCTGGGTCTGAACTCCTCCTGGGTCATTGTGTTGTGTTATACTGTACCAAAATACATTCAGGACATGACTTAAACTAAGCAGAGATGAGTAATGAGTAATTATCTGATTGTCTGCCAAAAGATTTCTTTATTACTCTGCTCAATAGATAACTTATTTCTGTCTCCAGTAATAATATTATTAGTACCATCATGTCTTCATTTGGTTCTGATAATATTTTTTGTTTCATTTTCAAATTTGTCATCTGGAATGTTACAGTGACCCTAAATAAATTATCAGGTATGCATCTCTTTATAAGTAACAAAGTTCACAAGATTAACAAACAACTTCATAAGATCAGACAGTTATTTTATGTTATTGTGTGAGTCTGTTAGAAGTGATCCAAATATCAGGTGACAAGGATAGAGAGAAAACAAATAAGCTCCAGACTTGGATAATGTGACTGTTCTGTTCACAGAATAATCAATTAAATTAAAGTAGTAAAGAAGGGAAAATGTTTCATAAATACCAAGTTGGCTGTCAGATGGATTGGAAATCTGTTTATTGTAGTGCAGTGACTATTATGAATAAAGCAAAGAGATAAGAACTGTAAGTTGTTACTGAAGTATCATTTGCTACCAAGAGCAAGATTATTTTAAAAGCTGAAATATTTCTTAAGATTGTTCTTGTTATTTTTCTTTTCAGTTTCACCAACAAGTTCAATTCTTCTCGATGTGGCAAAGTTGGATTTAGTTGAAAAAAATGTAAGTTGGAAAAAAGACCAACCCCTTACTGTGTTAGATAGATAACACACATATATTAACAATGTGATGTGTTATTGAAGATTTTCCCTTGCTTTTTTTTTTCATTGATGCAGACTGGAAATTTAGATATGGTGGTTCACTTAACAACCTGTAAACAAGCATTTAGTCAACAGCAAACTAGCACAGTTTGGCAAATGACGTCAACAAATCTGGCCATGAAGAAACAGGTACACAAAGTTGAATGTGGTGTACAACTCAAGGGTGTGGTTCACCAGTAGTAAGTCCAGGTGAAATGCAATAACATATCTTAAATACCTGTCCTAGTAAGGGATTGGTGTATAAGGTGATGCCAACAATTGGATTTGGGAGAAGGGGGAGAAGGTAAACAGGTGTTGCTACCAAATACAATTACACATGGATAGAGCTCAGCATGCACGGCAGTGACAATATGCTGGTTTGCTTGTAGGTGGCTCAGTCTACTGGCATACACTAGGTAAAACTGGTGCTTCACATTTTTTAGCTTTTTTATCAAATACTGTGAAGAGTTAGCTCAATTTGTTTTTTTTAATTTGTTGGCAATAATTTCCATTTTTCATTTTTATTATCAAAACAAGGAAATGATGTACCAAGATAGGCAATTGTCATGAAATTTGTTTGAGAGTAATAGAAGTGAATTAAGCAGGAATATCATTGTAAATGGTTTAAACATGGGGGTGACAATCAGACTATACAATCACAGAAGTTTTAGTGTTACACACTTTCTTCCTTAAAAAACATATACTATATGGAGTTTAGGATAGAAATTTCCATGAAAATGCTCTGCAATTGTTAATTTGTAGGCAGAGTATACTGAGGATGAGAATTATAAAAAAACTTCAATGTGAAATTATGGCATAAAAATTCAACACATACTTTTGGGCAGTTCTGATCCCATCAATTCAGCTGAAATGTCATACAGATTATCTTGCAACTAATCAGTATGCTGATGTTTCTTGCAATTTTAACTTGCTTCTTGTCTGTATAGTTTTTCCTTTCACTTGGGCTTGTTTCATTGTACAAAGATGAGCAAAGACTTCACGATCATCTTGATGTCTTGGAGTTACTAAGGTGGGTTGAGACAAAATGTTGACTTTTGTTTATATAACAAACACAATGTTTTCCTATACTCTTATGCTCTTGCTGCTATTTTCAGTAATTTATTTTTAATAGTAATGATGTCTTTTTTGTTAGAATTCGTGAAAAACAACTTCGAGCTTCTTATGTACTGAAGTATGGCAATAAAGTTGTAGGTATGAGCCTGAAGTCAAAAATAAACTTGTAGTTTTAGTTGATACAATCTCAGATTAAGAAAAGTCACTGATGGAGTAGTATAGTGATGGTGTTGTTATTCATTCACAAGGTCATGGCTGGGACACATCAATTAGGGAAATGGCGGTGGCTGCAATCAAATTAGAAACTCTTTCTTGTGCTCCAAACAGTGAAGTGAGTATTACAAGGCTGTTCTTTGAGGATTTAGTTAGGATTTCAACATAGGTTGGCCAGTTGACTGCCAAACACATGTTGCAAATTTTGAGATTTTGGCAAAAAATATAAACATCAAACTGTTTTTTATTCTGGAGCCTTGCTTTAAGGCAGACAAACAAAGGTGTTAAACACTTGTCATGAGTGTGCAACAGAGAAAAATCTAAGTACCACATGAGCATTTGAGCCACAGATTTTATTTAGTTTAGATGTTCTAGCTACCACTGTGGTACAAAGAACTTATTAATAAGCTACAGTTATGCCACAGACAAGTGGGATCATCTAGGTTCTTATTAACTTGCATTGTTTGTTTACTCTGTACATCAATTGTAGAACATCCAGTTCTACTACTAATGTACTTCTGAGTTAGAAAGTCTGAGGATTCAAATTCTTTTTCTTTGTTACACACACACACACACACAACATTGGATATTATTATCATGTTTCACATGGTGTAATAATCTGATTCTTGTAGTGGTGGTAACTTTGGAAAAAAGAAAAGTAGTAAATTATTAGTAAAATATGTGTTACTATTGGCAGATAAAAATTGACATAAGTGAAACCTCAAGAGAATTCAGGCAAGCCACCTTTGTTTTATACAACTGTGCCAGGCTTGCTAAATTATTTGCAAACTTTGAGGAGAATGTCCAGAAAGGTGAGAACAAATGTTTTTACTTGTTAGAAATGACAAATGTTTCAGGGAGAGTTAAATGAAAAATTAATAGTTGTGATGTCATGCTTTCATCTGTTAAATTATTTTTTAGAAATATTTATTTATAAAAGCAATAGAGGACTTTTTCATAGCCTCATCTAAATACTCAGGGGTTGGAAGAATTCTTGAAAGTTATGCAAACCCTCAACTGTTTCTCAATTGCCCCCTTGAGTGATCTCTGTTCTTGTGAACAATGATCACTCAATGGGTCAAAAGGTGAATTTGTTACTAACTAGAACCTTTTAAATTCCGTCAGGTGTTTATCCAGCACTACCTCCCATCAGTGAGGTGGATTTTAGCCTACTACGTGATCATGTAAGTGACTTCTGACAGAAACTGCAATGGCTTGTAAGAAGAATATCAGTTAGAGATCCTTTGAATTTTTGGGACTGCACATGTCTGAAAGCACAGTGTCTTTCTACCAATAAATTAAGGAGCTATGAGTTTCAGAGGTAGGGATTAGGAAACCTTGAATGTTGCAAAAAGTAACAACACATATTTACCAGTCAATGTAACTTGATCTATCTACGGAAGTTTACCTTGATTTTGTTTCAGTCAGTCCCAGTTTTCCTTCCTCATTTTTCACCTTAGTGTAAGGTTATTAAGCTTTATGCTACTGGGATAGGTTTGCAAATTGTCCTAAAGTTAGCCAAATAAATTGAACCTTGAAATTGAATTAAAAAATTTACATCACCAATAACGAATGTTTAATTCTGTAAACCAACGTTTAAAACTGCAGGTATACCATTTTTTTAATCAATGGAACTAAGTCCTATTAATTTCAGTTGTTTTTTGTGCTTCAAGAAACAGGAAATCACGAATTAATTGTCTTTCAGATATAAATATACTCTGTGGTTCTATTGATTCATTATGTATCTGAGCCAGAGAATTCTTTGTTTTCTTAAACAGGCTGAATGGGAGTTGACTTTACATTTTATAGTAGCTTTTCCATCTGTGATTAAGGGTGCTGTCTCTGGACTGAAAATGTGTACATCAAAATCTCAAAATGTCATTATTCACTCAAATAAGGTCAGTAAAGTGCACATTTCAGTAGAGGAGGTGTTAATACTGTAATTGTTAATTTTGATACCTTTGGTCAATAATAAAAAGCTGAGTGCATGCAATCATAGGATTATTTATACCCACACTCATTAACACACTGTGCTCTCAGTCTTTATTCATTGAACATCTCAGCCATACGAGGGCAAGGGCTGCAGTATCTGTGGAACAATTAGTGATTATTACAGAAACTGTTTCTTCTTTTACTTTCATTGCGTCTTTTTCAGAAACCTTAAGTAAGAGACTGTGTGGTGTTAAGTGAGAAAATCTTACTTTTTTTGTTTGGGCTAATTAGGACGACATGTTTAGACATCCTCACCTGATACGAATGTGCTTCCCTGTTAAATGCTGATTGCTTGCATGAACAGGTGATATTCCTTGAGACTGAGCAGCAGTTTAATTGTCTTACTATTTCACAAACTTACAAGACGTCGCACTAAATAGTAAAATGATGATCCTGCTGAATTGTAAGGAATTAAACTGACTGGTATAATTATTCAGAAAGTACTTAAAGTGCATGGTCTTTGCAATTTTTCTTAACCTTTACTGAACAATTTTCATATTCGCCAGAATGCAAATAGACCACTATTTGATTTTTAACAGGGTAATTTAGTACTATCAACTGAGTTGATAATGTAATTTGGCCACCGTTTGATAACTCTAAATTACCCTGTTATACTTTCCCACCGACGCAGCACCACAATTTCTTTAGAAACTTACCACCGTAAATCACTATTTGATTTTTGCTGCTTTAATTTGCTTTTGAATTTTTTTCAGATCTGCTGTTTCCTTTTCAATTTAAGCCACAAGTTCAGTTCTTATTACGGCCGAGTTCACATACTTGGAGTAAGTGATTTTTAGCCAAAAAGTGAAATGCAGTTATCAGTTAAAGGTGCCAAGTGTACTTTATTTCCCATCTTTCTGATATTTCAACGTGGACTTAACGCGCACACGGACTTGACGCACACAGCAAATATTGGCTTACAAGGGAAAACCAAACTTACCACTTGCAATTGAACATTTAGATTGTTGACTCACGTTCCCTATTTCACAAGTAGATTCCATGTTGCCGTGTGCTTCTTGTTTTATGTAAGAAAAAAAGGCGCGAAAAATTGCCAATGATGACGTCATCCATGCGTCTGTCCTCCTGTAGATCATAACTAAGAACTAATCAAACAAGTTGCGTAATTAAGTTTTTTAAATGATGCGTGCTAGTATAAAATCTGCTAGTCGAGCAAAACGTAACAACTAGATAGGCTCGTATTTTAATTGCAGTATTATTCCTTTTCTTTTTACAATGCACACTGTCAGGATTCTCACTTTGCATATGGTGTATCGCAGATTTTGAAATAATTAAAGCAGTTTAGTTGGTTGCAACAGTCGTGCTTTATAATCTATTTCGTTTTCTTTTAAACGCAACAGGAGCCAAGACAGCATCTCTTTCCTACAATGTTTGCTAGATTGTATCTAATGAAAGCTCTTCAGCAGGTCAGTTTACTTCAACCACTATGTTGTCTATGTACTGTGTTTTATATCAAGTGACTGTTTATCTCCTCTTTATCTCCATGGGATCCATTGGCTCTGTAAGTTCTGTTT